CATCAACAACCAGGCAGGCATCAGACAACTGCTGTAGCAAATTAGTTTCTTCTGACTCCTTTCCAGTACCTAAGCTGAGACAAAAACAGAAAATTGAGAAAGCCAGTTACACATAGCCTCTTTGGATCAAACAGCTTCTACAACAAGTACTGTTAATAGCAAGTCATAAAAGAAATATTAGGAAAAAATAATAGATGAGCAATCTAAAGAAACATGGTAAATCCAGTTCGTATTGTAGTGCCTGTAGAGATTTCCAAACAGAGCAGAAGATGGAAATCTGTAAGAATAATATACCTAGAAAAATCAGAAAACACATGTGACTTGAGTATTTGCTTGATATTCTTAAACTTCTCCCTCAGTTCCAAGATCTTCGGGATATCCCTATAGGCTTCAAAATGACTACATAACTGGTTCACTGCCTGAAATACAAGATAACAGCATGAATAAATCGATAGACAAACAAAAGAAAGAAGTTGAGTTTACAGATTAGTAAATTAAAACAATAAGCATAACTTTCTATATCAAATATATGAAAAAAGGACCATAAACCATGATCAAATACTGAAGACCGAATAAACCACAGAAGACTTCAAAGGTACAGTATTTGGGCGAATTATTGCACTTAGCATCGGGTTTAAGAACCACTTTCTGGATAAAATAAGAAATAATAGCTTAGGGTTTTCAGGAAGCTGGAAAAAAATAAACAATTATTTCTTCAAAATAAGTTTAACCATATATGTATTTGATAGTAGATGGTTTTAATTTTGAAAAAATTATTCCAGTTAAAATTGAATCTGAAGAGAAGTGATTTATGTTTGGGAACTTAGTGTCTCAAAAGTAAGTTTGTAGTGAAACTTAATATCTAATTCTCAACTTAACGTAAAAGTTTCTTATTTTAGAATCATGTTTAATCATATCTTGCAGTCTGAAACATAAACCATAAGCTTTTCCAGATATTTGTATGTTCAGTAATTACAAAATCCAGGCAAGCTGAAACCACATGCTTAGCTGCTGCACTAATGCAAACAGTAGCCTATACAGCAATAACAATCACAAACAACCAGGCCATATCCCACCACCTGCAGATACAAATTCAAAGAAAAAAAGGGGTGTACACCCTGAAGAAAAAATAAATCAAGGGGATTGATATTAGAAAAACAACTGGTAAATCTAATGAGGTTTCGTTACTAGAGCTGAAACATCCAACAGCCTATTTGTAACTCCTCCCCTTCTCCCCAAAATTAAGAAAAAGCCTATTTGCTATACATCCTTAGAAAATCTATAGAGATGAGCAAGGATAGAACCTTCCTATGATAAAATTTCTATACATTGTCCACTCTTTATCATTTGACTAAGGTGAATTAAATGTGGAAGATATGTTACAAGGAGACACCTTTGCGGGGAAGACACCATATTAAATCACTTTACTTCTCATAAAAATTCTCTCCATATCTACAATGACGGAGATGCCTTCTTATACATCACAATAACTACATTTCCCCTTCAATACAGAATGAAATATGTCATTTGACTCAATCAATGATCCTTTAAAAATTCTTTAGTGAACTAATTTACCACTAGATGTAGTGCAAGAAAAGATATGCAAAAGCAAAACAATCAAATATTATTGTTTAAAATCAATGATAAAGCTTAAAAGTTAAAACCGTAACGCTTTGCAGAGGCAACTGAAAGCCTCAAACTGCTAAACAACTAATAAGCAAACCCCATTAACAAGCTCCAATGCAAATACATCCTACACTAACACAATAATCAGAGATATCAACAGTTAATCACACAAATGCGGACAATGCGATACACAACAGTAAACCGTGCAGTAATTATATTGGATACCTCCAGCTGTGCAGCTGCCTCTTTATACTGACGCTTTGAAGCCATCACTTGAAGCTGTTCAACAGCAGAGACTGCCATATAATAGGTAAGTTTGTTGAAGTAAAGGATAAAAAAGCGTCTACGCGTCAAAAAAATTTACCAAGCAAGATTTACCAAGCATGCAACAGACTATAGAACAGAGGCGTAAAAGCAAGATTTACCAAGCATTGTAAGACGATGAAGTGCAGTAATTGTGGTAGTTATATGCTTCTTCGCGAAGTCCAGTTTCTTAATGTCACGGCATATTTCTTGAACCATTGTCTCACTCTGCACAGCTTTAGTTTTTATCTCTCGGATCTTATACATAAGCTCCTGCATTTACAGAGCAAGGCACTGATAAAACGCACGCGTCGAAACACAAAGGTCGAAGCAGGAAACTAAACTACTTCCCACGCGCGCATACCTCGACGGCACGTGTGGCGGCTGCGAGATCTTCCTTCGCCTTAGTTCCTGAATTGCTCTGAAATCAGAGAATCGGAGGTATGAGAGAGCGAAAACGACGGAACAAATCCAAACCAGGCGACGTTAATTGAAGAGATTTTAACACCTGTTGGCGAACGGCGGTGAGGATTCCAGCATCTACGGTGCGAATCTCGTTCTGGATTTTCTGCATCAGCGGCTCCACGCCGGAGAGAGACGCCTCTGCATAGCGAAACGCGGATTTGATAAGCGAAACGTTGGAATAAAAGCGTTGCAAGTGAGATTGGGATTTGTGGCGTACCGTTGGGGAACATCTGGTTGATGTACTCCAGAGCGCTTGACTTGTCCATTGGTGAGGGCGAGAATGAGCTCAATCAGAAATGCATGAACGAGGATGGCGATGGTAACGTTCGGATCTCTAGATACGCGTGTTCAACGCCATTGATGCTCTTCGATTTCCGGTGGATCCGACTGCAGAAGTGTCTGCTACGACGCTGGTGATACTGCTACTTTTCGTCTTCTTCTTCAACCTCTGGACACTGCTCTCTAATACATCAGACTCCGAGGACTCCTACTGAAAATTTCATTAGAACAAAAAAAAACTAAAATGTTATTGCTTAAAATCTAAATCTACAATTTATTATTTATTTAATTTAAGTAACTGTAAATTAATATATATATTTTTTTAAATATGCTAACACTTTAAATTATTGCTTATATTTTTTTTCAATTTCATATGTTTTATCGTAAATTTTGTTGTCTTTAAACATGGTTGATCAAATTAATCTAATGGATGTCTTTTAATTTATATTTTTTTTTTTGACAATTTTTACATTATCACCTACAAAACACATTTTTTAATAAAACTCATTCATCATTTTATACTAATGATATTTTACTTAAGTAACGATAATATCATTCTTATATTAGCATGTTAAAATAAAAATAAATAAATAATAGTCTAATTTTTTTTACAAAAATTTAATTAAAAATACTTAAATTTATCATTAACTTTAAAAATAATTAATCCTAGATTAAAAAAGGAGTTAAAATCAACATTAGTCAAATAAAATATAGATTAATACAATTTGATGTAAAAAATTATTTAAATCCTTTATTATAATAATAAAACTAATGATTTTCATTATTAATACTTTATTAAGAACCTTAATAGATAAATTTGTTAACTTTTCCTTTTTCTTTTTTCATTTTGACATGGTTATATTGCAAGCCACCCAACTAATATGTCTATTGTAGGATGTTCTAGTGTATTTGAAAAAGAAGGTAAAACAAACATTTGTCATTTTTCTTCATAAGCTCTAAACATTTATTAATTTAGTTAATTTGACATGAAGTTACACATTTTTTAATGTATTATTTTCTATATTTTTTCATATCATCATGTATATAATTTTCCTTTACATGTATTTGGTTTAGTATATTTTGTACATAATATCGCTTTCCATATAAAAAAAGGAAAATGACACTTGAACAACCATTTTTGACAACATTTAGACACGCGCACACGTGTCAAAATCTGAGTGGTCCAGTTGGAAAAATTAAATGAAAATGGACCACTCAGATTTTGACACGTGTGCGCGTGTCTAAATGTTGTCAAAAATGGTTGTTCAAGTATCATTTTCCATAAAAAAACTTTAGTTTTTTCATATACAGTCCGTTATTTGTCTTATACATGTATCACTTCTATTTTTAAATATTTGTAATTTTATCTTCATTTATATTATTACGTGACATACTTTTTCAAAATATGTTTTATATATATGTTAAATGTTAAGTCAATAAGCGCAGCAATTAATCCAAGTATTAACTTGTACAATTAAAGAAACTAAGATTAAGATAATCAAAGAGAGAAAAATAAGCTAAATTATCTAAGGGTGACTCATTTTAACATTGAATAAGTAATGAAAGTAGTATGCCAAAATTTTTTAAGTCTCATTATGACCATTGGGATTGTTTGAATTCCTGAAATATATTATTAATGCTCCCAGCTGTAGACATTCCTAAGTTATTGAAGGTTATCTGATCTATTTACAAAAAATACAAACTAAAGACTTCAATAACCTATAATACCGTATGGTTAAAGCAACCATTATTATTAGTACTATTACTAATAATATAACAGTACATTTATTGCAATTTTTTTTATTCATGCCAATACTTTTTAAAATATTGAATATGTTTTTAGTTTCTAATCGAAATTAAAATTTGTATTTATTCAAAACTTAACTTTATATATTTTCATCTTTAAGTTTTAAAATAAATTGATTTATTTTTTTTAACCAGTTACATTTCAAATGTTAATATAAAAATATATTTAATCAACTTACTCAAATATTTTCAATTTCAAAATAAATAAATAAAATTATTTTTTTAGTTTAAAGACCATGGCTCCCTTCAACACTATCGTAGCTCCACCCCATCCTCTGTCATTCTTTAATCTTGTATGTTTAGAGTTTAATGATTGTTATAAAGCATTTTACCACCACTCTATGTTTAGGGTTTAATGATTGTTTTTACATTAATGAATCAGAAATTCAAGATTGGCATATCTTAAAGATTAATTATTGAAAAAAATTCATAAAACTTTTGAGAACAGATTTACACTATTAGTGCACAGCATGTATTTTCTCTTAAAAACAGAAAGCATATTTAGCACTAAATACAAATATATGTGGAAAGAAAGGGTATAAAGTGAAAGCAAACACACAATCCTGCTACGTCTTTGGTATATATTCTGTATGTGGTTCCTTCCATTACCTAGCTGAAGTTGCAAAAACGCACCAAACTATTCCTATTGTTTACTAAAAGTAAAGTAAAAGGTATCAAAGTATAGAAGAAACGTCGACTACTCAAATAAAGCATATTGCACTCAAAGGATGAATTGAAGGCATAAAAATTCTGAGCACATGTGCATAGTTACCATATTTAAACAAAGGGCTGGCATAGTTTGTTGTGGTATTTCACAGGAGATGCGCTTGAATATGCGGAATCTCTAACTTCAGCTACCACATTTAATTTAAACAATAATAAGCAGTTCTTGATGTTCACACAAATGATGTTATTTCTTGCAAAGTTTTCACATCTTTGATATAACCCCATCCTAGTCACAGATCTGCATGTGTTGCGCACCATAAAGATGGCTGGTCACTGGTTCACAGATATTCAAAAAGAAAAACCCACAAGAATATCTCATTTGAGGTCGACCCCTCTTCCGATTTGCAACTAAAATGAAAAGAAGCAGTAATTCTACAGATTTCCTGTCATTTTCTGGCTATTTCTTGATATCGACAGACAGGTACTCTTGATTGGAGCCTTATAATGTAAGAAGGAATTGTGGAGCTCCAGACTTCCTAATGGATTGCTCTTTATTTGATACTGCAGCAGTGAAATTACCACTGTACTTGGAACTTAGATGCCTCTTTTGCAACCCCTGATTCATCAAAATGGATAAATTCTTATAGAATATATATCATGAGATTGGCTAACTGCCAGCGGAATAACTGCAAGACCTCGGAACACAAATGGAATCTCATAAACATGGTGTGAATGCATTAGATTTAGAAGGAGAACTTGCAAGCTCCATGCCAAATATTAAGAAACATCTGTGTAGTAAGTTTCTATTTTGATTCAGGTCGTGTTTCGAGACCAATTAGCCTTTGTAAGTTCTGACCGGTACCCTATTGCCTTTGTAGGTTCTGACTGGTACCTATTGCCTTAGTAAGTTCCCACCATAGCCTCTGCACAGTTCAAGGCTACATGTTAATTGTAAGCTTGTGATTATGAACACCAAAAGACAAGCAAACAAATGTATAAATAGTAAGCAGACAACAATAATTACATAACTGAAACTATACAAGTAATAAAGCAACACAGTAAAAGCAATAGCCATAATTGATCTTGGGCAAACAACTTAGTACTTTTAAGAGATTGACTATTGACTATATACATTCTACAATACACTAGGGTACATTCCTCCTACATGTCAGACACAATCACAAGTGTACCTTTCATTTCAGAACCCGTCACTGATGATGAATCGATCGTGAATCAAATCATATGAACCACTTCTTACAGGTGAAAGGAATGGATAGATGAAATGTTTTTGAGGAATAGGAAAAAGTACCTTACTGGTTGATCTGTGGACATCCAATGCTAGCCAATGATCTAAAAGAATGAGGGTAGATAGATACGCACTGCCGGATCAAATGTAGCTATTGATGCTTTTATATTGGCAAGCACACCAGAAATCTCCCAATAACAGTAAAGCGTCATCCGTCTTGCTGAACAATCAAACAGATAGTGACCTAGCATGTTGGTTCAAGCCCAGAACATTGATCCAACTATTTCCAGCTTCCTTGACCAACCCTTTTGTCCTCATGATGCTTCTCAGTTCATCAACACGATCCCACCTGCCAATGGCTGCATAGAAGTTTGATACAAGAACAACATAGCTAGATTTATTGGGTTCCAACTGCAAGAGATGCTTCGCAGCCAATTCACCTCTTTCAACATCCTGATTAAGACTGCAGGCATTCAACAATGCTACCCATATTCCTGCAGTAGGCCTAGTACCGTGCTCAACCATATTGTGATACGCAGACCATACCCCTTCTATGTTACCCGCCCGGCCTAAGATATCTATGTAACAAGCATAGTGCTCTGGATCTGGTTCAAGACCGTACTTCTCCCTCAACAATTTGAAACATTTTTCGCCTTCCTCCACCAGTCCAGAGTGACCACAAGCCGATAAAACAGACAAAAAAGTGACGGAGTTCGGCAACACCTTCCCCCCTTCTTTCCTCATCTCCTGAAACAGCAAAACAGCTTCACGCCCACGCCCATTTCTTCCATACGCATCAATCATACAAGTCCAGGAAATCACATCTTTCTCACAAATTCCATCAAACAACGACTGGGCAAGCGAAACCTTTCCACATTTCGCATACATATCCAACAGGGCATTACACAGCTGAGTCTCACGAGTAAAACCCTGCCGAACCGCAACAGAGTGCATCTGCTTCCCTGCCCACAAATCCAAATTCTCAGAGCACCCCACCAGAGCACTGGTAAGCGCCACAGCATTGGGTCTCACCAAGCCCATAACTCTAAATGCCTCGCCATACCTCCTATTCCTAACACAACCAGAAACCAACGAGTTATACATCATATCATCCTTCCAACCCTTCAAACTGCAAAACACCTTCAAAGCATCATCAACACACCCAACACTGGAGTAAAAATCAATAAGAGCAGTGCTCAAAACAACCATATCACGCCCCATACACACCACCAAACCATGAACCTGCCTTCCAAGCTCCAACGCCTTCAAAGAAGCACAAGACTTCAACGCAGAACACAAAGTAAACTCACTAAGCTCAACATTCTCCCTCCCCATCGCCCTAAGAACCCCAACAGCCTCAACAGGAAGATCACACCGCAAAAAACACGAAAGCAAAGCGTTCCAAGCGACAACATCTCGCTGACCCATTTCGTCAAACACCCTCACTGCTTCGTCCAAAGACCCGCACTTGGAGTACATATCCACCAGCGAGGTTTTCGCGACGGTGCCGGAATCAGCACCGGTTTTTACCATTTGGGCATGGACTTGTGTCCCGAGTTGAGAGATATGCAAGAGAGTACAAGCGCGCAAGACAGAGGTGAAGGTATACGCGTCAACGTCGGCATGCGCGCGATGTAGAGAGTGGAAGAGGATCCATGCAGAGACAGGATCGCCTCGGCGAACATGCAAGGCAATTAGGAAGTTGGTTTGGGAAATGTTTTGGGTGAGAGATGATGACGAAAAGTTGGTTGTGAAAGTTTGATGGTGCAAATAGTGATTGATGATTCCGATGATGTTCGACACGTGGTTGAGATTGAGTGCTGAACACGTTTTGTGTCTGAGGTTTTGGATCATCTTCGTCCACTGCTTCTACTGTGATTACCACAGAACACAAATGCAGGTCTATTTCAACTACAGAACCATGAAGTTTCATTGTACGTTTATTCATCCAGGGAAGTCCTTTTTTTTAGCATAATCTCAAATTTCGTCCCTTTTTTTTTTTTGAATTGGATTCAAATTTTTTGAAAATTGTAACAATTGGACCCCAACCGTTAAATGGGGTCCAATGACGTTAGACTGTGTTTGACGTGACACGCTGGATCTCGTTTTGTAATTGACGTGACACGCTAAACTAACTTTTTAGTTGACGTGACTACATTAGTAGGGGCACTGACGGGTATAGTTATATTTGTTTAAAAACAAACAAATGGATAACACATCACCCATCTCTTCTAATACACCACCAACTTCTTCAACTCCGTGGATCCCAAACCCTACGCCTACACCTACTCCCTAAGAATCCTCCCTCGCTTTCACCAAATGCTCCGGCACCTTCTTCACCTCCGGAGATCGCTACTTCTGGATCGACCTTCGCGTCGGTCCGGTTGACTACGACCCCGCAATCTCCGAGGACGGCGTCATCCCCCGCGACGAGTTTCACCCCCTCGCCGTTGTCCACGGCCATCCCAAATCAAGCAAGCTCTGCGCCGCCGACCTCGCCTCCCTCATTTGGAGCGCCTACAATGTCTTCCTCGCTCCCTCCCTCCGGATACCTGTTCTGTTTGAGAATTCCCTCACCGTCCAGTTCATCCACATTCACAACGATTTCGATAGCACGGGTAGCTCCAGCCTCGATTGGAAATTGATCGAGAAGAGCTTTAGGTTTGAGATTGATAACAACAATAATGGATTGCTGTTAGGAGACCAAAGGTTGAATTTTAAGAATTATGGAATTAGGTTTTCAGAGTGTTCGATTTGCTCGTTTGCTATTGCAAGGTCGATTAATTCTTATACCTCTAGGTTTTTTTTTGATAATTATACTTTAATTGTGAGTGTTTGGATTCGAAACGGTTGCACCAGATTTTGTTAAGGTTGTGCCTGTGTCTGTTTCTGACTTGGATTATAGCATAACCAGTGCGATTGATGTTCTTCAGAGCGTCGAGACTCATGGTGGGGGAAAGAATCTGCTGAAGCAGAAGCAACACGTGGATCGAAGATTGATTCGGAGATGCTCTGGAAAAGGAGTTTGAGGTTTGGTGGATCGAAGGAAAGAGATTAGGATTGTTGGAGTTGGAACTCTATGGAGGTTTTCAGTTGGGAGAAGTGTGAGCGGACGGAGGAGACAGATTCTGTTGAAGATTTGGGCTTTGTTGAACGACTTTGGGGGTGCTTCGAAAGCCTTTCCACCATTGCTAAGTGCTTCTTCTGTTTCTCTATTTCGTCTTCCATGGAGGATGATTGTTTCTGTTTCTGGGATTCCTCAAACTTAATTCATAGTACATTCATGGTATTCAGATTCAAGCTTATTTTCCAGAGAAGATCAGGATACGAAGGGTTTGAGACTGTGTTTCAAGGGGGGGTTTACTAAGTTTTTTAAATTTTAAAACTACCTAAATACACATCATTTAGCCACGTTAATTAAAAACTCAGTCCAGCGTGCCACGTCAAACACAGCCTAACGCCGTTGGACCCAATTGTTGCAATTTTCAAAAAATTTGGATCCAATTGAGAAACCGAAAAAATAAGGGACGAAATTGAGATTCTGCTCCAAAAAAAGGGACTTCCTAAATGATTAAACCTTCATTATAACTAACTCTGCCACATTCTTTTATAATGCCACATTATCGTTTTTAACTTTTATTTTCCGATAGCCAAATGGTTTTTAATAAAATAAAATAGAATAACATACATTTATAACATTTAAGTTTACATTCAGTTAAAATTGAAAATTTTGATGAATATATTGAAATACAATATTCAATTTTCAGGTTTTTGCACCAAACTAGGCATATTTGCCTTTAATATTACTGAAATGGACAAATTCAACCAAAATTGCGAAAATGGGGAAGTTGTGGGGGCCCAAACGACTTCAATTGAAGAAGTCGTGTCCCCCCTGCACGACTTCACCCTGTTCATTTGACCAGGGTTGAAGTCGTGCACCCCAAAAACGATTTTAGGGTATGGTAATCGATTATCACATGTTGTAATTGATTACCATACTGTTTTTAATACAAAAATATAAAAAAAATTGAAAATCGTAGGGGGTGCACGACTTCTCGTGAACTTCGAGAAGTCGTGCACCCCCTACACAACTTTACTTTCTTTTAATTTTTAACTTTTATCAATTAAAATTATTTATAATTTCTAAAAAATATTTTTAAATGTATTTAAAATAATTAAAATTATATTTAATTAATAATTAAAGTTTTTCAATATTATTAAATAAATAAATTTTATACTTTTAATTATTTTTGTAATTAAATTAAATTTTTTATAAAATAATTTTAATTAAATAATTTATAACTATAACTATTATAATTATCTAATTAAAAATTCAAAAACATTTATATTTCATTATAATTTATTTTTTTTAATTTTAATTATTATAGTATATTTTTTTACAAATTATAATTAATTAATAATAATTTTTTTCATTATAAATTATTTATGCATTTTAATTTATGTAATTACAATAATAATAGTTATAAATTATTTAATTAAAATAATTTAAAAAAATGTGATGAATTTAATAACAAAAATAAGTTTATTTATTTAATAATATTTAGAAACTTTAAATATTAATTATATATAATTTTTAATACATTTAAATATATAATTTAAAAATTATAAATAATTTTAAATAAAAATAATAATAAAGTGAAAGTGTACGGGGGGAGCACGACTTCAATACAAGAAGTCGTTAACCCCCTCCACAATTTTAGTTATTTAGTCTTTTTTATTAATTTAATTAGTTTATATTTAATAATTTTATTAATTTAAATAGTTTATAATGAAAAAAATTATTATTAATTAATTATAATTTTGTAAAAAAATATACTATAATAATCAAAATTAAAAACAATAAATTATAATAAAATATATATTTTTTTTAATTTTTAATTAGATAATTATAATAATTATAGTTATAAATTATTTAATTGAAATTCTTTTATAAAAAATTTAATTTAATTACAAAAATAATTAAAAGTATGAAATTTATTTATTTAATAATATTGAAAAATTTTCATTATTAATTAGATATAATTTTAATTATTTTAAATACATTTAAAAATATTTTTTAGAAATTATAAATGATTTTAATTAATAAAAGTTAAAAATTAAAAGAAAGTAAAGTTGTGTTGGGGTGCACGACTTCTCTTATTGAAGTCGTGAACCCCCCTACGATTTCAATTTTTTTTTATATTTTTTTATTAAAAACGGTATGGTAATCGATTACAACATGTGATAATCGATTACCATACCCAAAAATCGATTTTGCGGTGCACGACTTCAATATTGTGCATATGAACAATGTGAAGTTGTGCAGGGGGACACGACTTCTTCAATTGAAGTCGTTTTGCCCACGACTTCACTTTGGGTCAAAATTTGTCCATTTTGATAATAAAGAGGACATATTTGCCTAGTTTGGTGAAAAACCCAATTTTCAACATCCCTTTGTATTTAATTTGGCTAATATAAAAAAAAATTCATCCATATATACACCGTATATATATTTGAAATGCAAACTTTAAATATTTGATTTTATAACCAACTATTATATATTAAATTTATTGATTTGTAGAATGGCAATTTATAAATTTACACACGTCTTTTAGTTAACAGAACAAAACTTCCACAATCATATTATGTGCCAATTAAACAATCAACCTCAGGCAAAAAGAAGAAATCACTTTTTATCTTAAATAATAAAGTTCTTAAAATAAAAAGTAGAAACACTTTTATTTTGTCACTAGTACTGTGAGGAAAAGTCAAGAGTGCACTTTTTCTTTAGGTGACTCAGCACACGAAATGGGACAGACAAAAACGAAAAATTGACTCGCCTGTGTTTTATAAGAAATAAAATATTAACTAAATAAAGGTTTTTACATTATTAATTAATTAAATAAAAACTATTTCACGTAATATTTTTTATTACTATTTTCATTAGAAATAGTGTTAGGTTGAAATATATATTATATAGCGTTTTTAGAAGATTTTAATATGTGTGGGGAGAAATTGTTGGACGGTTAATTAGTAATGGTGAAAAAAAGGAAGGTTGACAAGCCAAAAACTAATATGAAACAAAGTTAATTATACAAAATATTATTAGATGAATAAATTTATACTCATTAAAAATTAAAAAAAAATATTATGATAAGAGTGAATAATTTATATTCTAGTTAACTTGTGAGTTCATTTATTTTTTACTATTATTTATTGGTTCGTGCGGAGGCGGAGTCCAAGAGGTAAGAAGAGTGGAGAAAGGAATTGGAAGAGAGAATCTGATCAGAACAGAGTTGTTGAGAGAACCGCGTTCTGTTCTGATTCGCCAAGAATTCAACGATCCAAACGCAATCGGAAGCAATCCGTTAATTGCTTCCGGCTATGACAATGGCTTCGGAGATTGAAATTTCTCCGGCCGACGCTCGCAAGGCTCCCGGCAAAGAGCAGCAAGCGGCCGGCGTCGGAATCCTTCTGCAGATCATGATGCTCGTCCTGTCCTTCGTCCTCGGTCACGTTCTCCGTCGAAAGAAGGTTTACATCATCCCCGAAGCCAGTGCTTCTCTTCTCATAGGTACCTTCCCTTCCCTTTCTTCAACCTTTTCTTTTTTCATTTTCCCCTTTTCTAACCTAACTTTCACTCTCCAGGGTTAATTGTTGGCATTCTAGCAAACATTTCGGACACCGAGACTAGTATCAGGTTATTTTCACCAATATTAAATACCGTTATTGGTTCTTCATGTTTATTTTCTGGAGCTGACATTTGGAATGTGAAATTTGTACAGGGCGTGGTTTAATTTTCACGAGGAGTTTTTCTTCCTGTTCCTGCTACCTCCTATCATATTATATCCTCTGATAGATACCTTTATTGATTTTTTTTCCCGCGAATTTTTAGTTATTTGTTTT